ATAATATTTTATTGATATTAAGCATGTGAAATATTGAGCACATAACATACTGATTTGATGCGGATATAAAATAACTTGAAACAATAAAAAAAGTCGTCCCAAATAAAACCTTAATAATTTCTTTTTCTATTTATTTTCAACCTTGAAACTATTCAATAGCTCAAATATGACCAAATTTATAACACACTAGTTGAAAATAAATTTGAAAATTTTGACGGATCGAATTTGAGTATTCACCCCAACAACCAAATAAAAAATTCTCAATGATATCATTTCTCCATATTAGAATTCTCAATACTTCTCTCATGATTTCTTGTAAAGATTACTTGTCATTTACATTATTTCTCATAGAAATTACATTTTTTTTAATGTGTTCTTTTAATAATAATAAAATTAATCATAAATAAGAAACTCCAACATTTACAACTAGCCGTTAGAAGCAATACATGATAGCAAAGGTCATACACATGAAATGAATGAAAGAATTGACTCCAGCAATGGCTAAAGCTGGATTAGGATATTGATCTTGTAACCGTAGAGAGTCTTCTCTTCTACTGGGATCTTAAGCCATGTAGTACTTTCTTCGCTGCTACTGTACACTTGAAGGATTTCGATAGGATTTTGAACAGACCATCAGGATTGTCTGCATGCACCTGAAAGCCAAAATAGCTGATATGCTCCATGAAATTTATTGAGCCAAATAGGACCAAGTAAAATTATGTTCATATTTGACTCATTAAGTAAATAAAATTAAAAAAAAAAAGGTGATTTCCAGCTAATTATCAAGCCAAGCACAATCAAACATGAATAATGAGCTTTTGCTGACATCAGAATAAGAATTTATGTTTTAAAAATCTAACATTTTTTTGATGGAGTTAGGCAACAACATTGATTTATATAGAAATCTCCTTCAATCTCCCTCTTTAATTTAAAACTCAAAATGAGTAAAAACTGAATCATCAATTTCTGAATTTTATTTTTATTTTTATTTTTATCTACACAATAAAAAGAGCTATAAGACAAGTCATTAAAAAATTAATGTTATTTTAGTAGTAATATATATTGTGGTGGAATTGTGTCATTGGGCGATCAAGTCAATAAAAAGAGTACGCATTTTGAATATCTATGATCTATGATTGAAAGCGATGGTGAAGTAGATGGGGATATTATTAGAATAATTTAGGTTGGATGGTTGAAGTGGAGTAATGCATCGGGCCTGTTGTGTGATAGAAAGTACCCCTCAAATTTAAAGAAAGATTTTATAAGGTGGTAGTGAAACCTGCAATGCTTTATGACATAGAATATTGGCCATTAAAAGAAAAGCATTAAATTAACTTAATTGTTGCAGAGATGAGGATGCTTATGTGGATGAGTGACTTTACACTTAAAAGTGATTTTAATCTTACAGATAGAATGCGAAACGAGCATATATGTGAAAAAGTTGGAGTAGCTCTAGTGGCAGATAAGATTAGAGAGAGTTTTCTTAGATGATTTGTTCAATAAAACATCGGCCTTCCGATGACTCAATTAGGAGAGTATATGTATTAAATTTAGCCTATGTTAAGAAAGATAGAGGTAGACCTAAAAAGACTTTGTTATAAAGTATTAGAAATGACCTTTTTTATTATAATATAATGAGAATTTAACTCTTAACATGACACAATGGAGAAAAAGGATTCATGTTACCAATCACACGTAGTGGGATAAAGGCTTGATGTTGTTGTTGTTCTGTTATGATAAATTTTGCCAACACTACAATATAGTTAAAAAGTTTCAATTCCTACTTCAGTAACATTTCAATTCTCCAAAGCAAAGTGCTTTGTAGGCTAGGGTAATTCATGCAGTGCAAGTATATCTCAGTTCTTAGTTTGCAATCCTTATTTGTCTTTTAAAGTTAATTATTAGTAGCTTAAATGGCATTTGTTATTTAGGATTTGTTTATTTTTTAATATTTATCTAGTGATATTTTTGTCATTTTCATAAAACCTATTTCTATAGATGGTGTCGAGATACTTGAAGAAAGAATAAATAAATGTTGTATTTTAGCTTCTCTTCATAACATTGATTTCCTTTTTAGGGTTTCTTCATTTTTCTTCCTCTCCATCTCTTTCATATTTTTATTTTGATATGTTCCTTAGTTTAATCTTCTCAAGTTATTTCTTTACCTCCCTAATTCTCCCTCTTGATCATGTTATTCTTATTTCAAAAATAAGTATCAAAATAGAAAAAAATCCCACCCAATCTCCACATCCACTACACTACTCTTCATCAAAGGGCCTTGTGTATTGAACATGCATGTCAAAGGAGAAATACTTTTGTTAGGCACAGTGTTTAGTCGACGTTATCCCAGTTAAATCCCTGAGTGGCAACTCTGTTACCGACAATGCACATAGAAAATTTGATTTCAATTTGAAGTAGCCTTCACCCTCCATCTACTTTTGTCAAAGGGTTAGCAGAGTCTAATACCCTTTCAAAAAAACATTAAACTTAGTTGTTCAAATCAATTCATTAGTAGCATCACTCATGGACTCCACCCAAGAGTTAATGATGATTTTAACATAGAACTAAGCCAATGATCAGTTGCCTAGCTCCCTCAATTGACTCAATTGTCCTCTGTTTTTTTTCGCTGCTTGTAGGTCAATGTATGAATGTATAACGATGAGACCACAAGCAAAAGCCTCCTTAGCTAGAAGGGCAATGCCAACATCATTTTCCTCAATCATTAAATCATCAAATAATCTTCTCGTTAGCGACAAATGATAAATTGATTGCCTGAATAACCATAAGTAGAATAGTCATTGAGGTGGATGATCCGACAACCACAAGTGTAAAGAGCTTTTGAGAAGCCCGAATAACCATAAGCAGAATAGTCATTGAGGTGGATGATCCGACAACCACAAGTGTAAAGAGCTTTTGAGAAGCCTTCTTTAATTTTTCCATAATATGCAACTTCATCCAAAGAAAAGGATTGCATAGATTTCAGGGAAGCAAAAAAGGAAACTCTAAGACAGGAGAATGAATTAGGAAATTTGGAAGTTCAATGGATGTTCTTGACTCTATTCTAAATCTTAAATATGGTTCAAAAATAGAAGCACCACAAACCTCCAACATCATTAACCACTAATTAGGGCCTAATAAATATTTGTGTCCTCTAGTTATAATAATTAGGAGTGATCTCAGCTCAAGTCAACCCAAATATCTCTGTACAATTCATCTTGACCGAGCAAGTGCAAAATATTATAATAAAACTCAAAGAGTAAGATTTTTTGGCTGATGCGATCTAACCTCTCACTCTTCTCTTCATAGCTCAACTTGGTTAGGCCATTTAAGTTCTTAAATCATTCAGAGTAACTTCGCAAGATCAATCTTTTAAAAAGAAGAGGCATAAGACGTCGTATTTTACCAATTATATAGAGGAACGAGCATCGAGGCAAGTGGTCTAAGTTTGAACTTTTAATCAAAATATTGTTTAATGTGATATTAGTAGGATCCGTTGGCTTTATTTTCATAAGTTGTAATTCTGATCTTTAATACTTGAAAAAAAAAAATCAAAATTTTGTATGGATGCATAATAATCTACAAATGGAACCTGCCAAATTTCTATGAAGACAGATATTATTAATTTTTATTATAATATAAATAACTGTATCAGATTCACAATTTCATTTGGTGAAACCGAAGCCAGTAAAGATCATCCAAATGCTCTGGATGATAAAAATGATGAGCATTGAAACTATTCAAAGCTTTGGTTAACAAAAAGGGGGATTTTGTTTGGCCTTTAATATGACCAATCATAAGAAAATTGATATTTAAGTTAAACACAAATCTTTTGAATGGAGGAATTTAGAAGTAGAGATTAATTTGTTTGTCCACTCTACGCAGCTTATGGCCCTCGAATTTAATCGGAAACCAAGCTTCAGGAAACATAATATTTCTAATGGTAATTAATAATTGCTGTAAAGAGAAGAAGATACCGGAGCGGAAGCTTTCCTCCAGAAGCTTCTACAAGGGCGTCCTATCATTTGAAGTGAGACTGCAAGAAATAAAGAGAAGAACAAAGAACTAATAGCGATTCCTGCCAAAGCTTTAAGAAATCACTAATTGAGTGAAAATGAATGATGGACTGGAAAACAAGGATAGAACCCGCGGTTTCAGCCGATGCAGGCGACCCCATTAGAACAAAAGAAGCGGAGCGGACAGCGTAACGATTGGCAGACTGATTGAATCCGGTCGAGCCGTTCACTGATGCGCAACGTACCAAAGGCCGGAGTGCTGCCGCCACTGGTCAGTGGAGAGCCATGACGTCCAGTGATTCTACCCGCGCTCTGAAATAATTCTGTTTCTGCTCTGAGATTAGTAGAGTCGAGAAGATAAGGGGGTATGAGAGGAGAGGAGGTAAATTTTTTTTAGAAGAGAGAACACTTAGAAATTACAAGGTTTTTTGGCATGGGATGAGCTACCGGCGGCTTGGCTCAATTTTAACTATTTTTTTTATTCAAATAATCAAATAAATTTGGATGTTTTTTTTTAATATTTAAAGATTAAATAAATAAATTTGAAAATTTGTGAGTTTGATAAATTTATGTTTATGAACAGGATTTAACGGGATTTACAGCTAGGGAAGTGTTACCCGCCGCGATTTGCCGAAACCAATGGAGGCATCGCTTCAGCTCGCCGCCTCATTCAATCCAACTCTTCTTCCTGTCCGGCGTGCTGCTACGTCTTCGTCCGCGAGCTGGTTGCTCTCGACTTAGAGGTAATTTTTTTGGGGGATTTACATACATATCACTTTATTTGTTATATATTACATATTTAACATCTAATATTTAAATATTATATTAATACCACCTAAATATTATTCTCATAATAAAAATACCACTCCGTCAAATACATCGCTCATTCCGTCCATTTTTTGCAGGATTTTTGCGGGAGAAGAGGACATTCCCGCGTGTATCTCTCCGGTGACTCGATTTCTCTCTCAGCATCGTGCGTACCTCATATCCTTTTCCATTTCCTCTTCTCTCTGCTCGGTATTCTGTCAAAGTTCGTCTCTCTGCTTGGTATTATGTCAAAGTTCTTCTCTCTGCTCGGTTTGCTCTCTGCTCCGATTTTCTGTTCATTCCATTCAGCAATGCATCTCATTTTCGTTCCATATTTGACAGCCACACTTTTTGTTTAATATCTCCATGGTTTATAAAATTAAGATTGTTTGTTATTCGTTTAACGATTTGGTGTTTGATTTGTTATCTAATTTCAGTTTGAAGGTAAGGAACAAATGACAAGCACATGGCATAAGTCGATAATGCAGGATTGTGGTGAAGAAGTAGTAGACGAATTATGTAGAGATAAAAAAGAGGATATATTTATTGCATTCAAATTTGGAGGACTTTGGGTAGACACAAAGGACCAATCTAGAAAGAGGTATATTGGCGTCAAACAAAGGACAGTGAAACTTGAGAAAGGACAAATGAATACTTTCAAGATTAGAGCAGAAATTGCTAGAATATGTCCATAGATTAAAGGACATCAGTATAGCATACATTATCACATTAATGGAACATCACCCAAGGAGTATAAAGTAATCAATTACGAAGTTGACATTAGCCAGTTGGTAAACCAATCGAATGAAAATTTACGTGCCGAAATTGTTATCTCACTACATGAAGGAGATGAAGATCAATCAAACTCATAGCGATTGAGAGTACTGAACAAATTATAGAATGTTCTATTTCTTAGAATGATGCTGCTTCAATATTGCAAAAAATAAGTGTAACAAATCTCACTGTTGTAACATTATTTAATGATGCATCAAGTTTCAAAAATGCTCTCCGATCATTTGCTATTAAGGAGAACTTTGGGGTGAGGATTAAAGCGAGTGATAAGAAATGAGTTATTGCGGCATGTTCATATCAAGGATGCCAATGGTGAATTCGGGCATCCCTATGTGAAGACACTCAATCATTTCAAGTAAGGAGAGTAGATGGAGAACATACATGCCCTGGGATTAATCCTGCTGGGAATCGGCTAGCCACAACTTCATAGGTTGCTAATGAGATTCAGGAAATGGTGAAGAGGTGTCCAGATATTCCACCAAAAGATATAAATAGCGGTCTAGAGAAGGAATTTGGTTTATTATTACCTTATATGAAGATTTGGAGGGCAAGAGAGCAAGCTCATGATAACATTTTTGGCTCAGTGGATGACAACTATAAATGGGTCCCAACTTTTACATCATAACTACTTGATCGAAACCCTGGGTCACACATCACATATACATTTAATGCTTTTGACAATGCTTTTCAAAGGTTTTATGGGATCCAAGAGTTCCAGTTTATGTTTATTTATAAGCTTCACAAACTCAGTCCATACGCACAGTCATCCAAGAGTTCCAGTTTATGCTTGCAGGAATATGGGATCCAAGAGTTCCAGTTTATGTTTATTTATAAGCTTCACAAATTAAGTACATACGCACAATCATTTATATGCTTCACAAATTGGCCATAGGACAGATAACTCTCACTTCCTTGTACAATTTTTGCAGCCCCGTGGGTCATCCTGGAACAATTTTTGCAGATAACTCTCAGGAACTCTCACTTCCTGGAACAAATTTGTCGAAAATGTTATCTTTTATTTATAACAAATGCCTTTGTTGTTATCAGCAAAGCAATTCTTCCAGCCAAATGACTGTGCGTATGGACAGAAGAATAAATCTTCTTTTTTTTCCTCCAATAACTATGGGACCTGTCTCATAAAGAATAAATCTGTAAAACTGATCTCAATTTCTGAAATTCTTTGACTTATCTCAATGAATATTCCGAGAATGTGGAAGTTGCCAAACAATTTTTGAAATGAAAAAGTGTTGTTTGACTGATCTCAATGAATATAATTTAGAATTTTTTTCATTAATTTGGATAAGCAAACAACATACACTTGATCAACACAACAATTCAAGCAACTAACATAGACAACTAAACAAAACAAAAAAGTCGTGTTGATACTACTTAGCATTCAACCCATCCCGACAAAACCCATTACAAAACCAAACGGATGGCTACATCAACAAGAACAATTGCAATGAAGACTTTCATCAAATATATGATCCAGTCCAGCTTCTTAATAACCTTTACCTCAAAGCCTTTGTGTTCATCATATGTACCATAAGATGCATCTTATACTTCATCTATCCATCTAAAGTATCTGCAGTCGTCATCAGTTCGATTATTCATGCACCTATAAAATTGTCTTCCACTATTACCACGGTGGCATGTATACAAGACATAATTCAGCCGACAATAATAATAAACTTCAGCTCGTGTGCACCTCGTAGTAGACGAATTTGTAGAACTCATTCGAAATGTTAAAACAATATGTCAACAAAGACAAACAAATTTAGGAATAAATATCTGGAATAAACAAAATAGAACCTGAAAAATGAATTTTTAAGAACATTACTTACTCCATTCAAAAGCATTACAATACAAAATCTTTTAGAATAAGCATAGCCAAAAAGCTAGACTGGATCAACATAGTCTGTAACTAGAAACAAGCTTAAGAAATTACAGCCATTATGTAACAAAAGACTTAGAAATTTACAATCAACATAGTCTGTAAGTGGAAACTCATTCTATAACTTAGAATCAACAAATTCTGCCAAATTATGAACCTAAAAAATTTGAAGATATAAGAGTAGATATAAGAGAACATACAGATCGCGAGAGGAGCGAAACTTCTAGACGATTCAATGAGAAGATGTGGGGTTTTGGATCTGTGAGGAAGATCTGCGAGGAAGATGCCTGGAGTGAAGATCAACTAGAAAGAATGCAGCTCGCGATAGCTCGCGGAGCGGACCTTCTGGACGATTTTGTGAGAAGATGTGGGGTTTTGGATATGTGAGGAAGATGCCAGGAGGGAAGATCAACGAGGAAGAATGCAACTCGCAACAGCTCACGGGGAGGAAGATCAAAGGGAAAGGGTTCTAGGACACGAAGATGTGAAGAGAAGAGGTTTTTAAATACGGTGGCTAGGGCTTGCCTAATGAAAACAGATGGAATGAGCGATGTATTTGACGGAAAGGTATTTTTGTTATGAGAATAGTATTTAGGTGGTATTAATGTAATATTTAAGTATTAGGTGTTAAATATGTAATATATAACAAATAAAGTTGTATTTATGTAAATCCCCCTAAATTTTTTTCTCCGTTGGATAGCCCGCTTACGCAACTTATGCCTGTTTCGTCTTTTTTTTTGGATTTTTACATAACTAACCCTCAGAATACTTCTATTTACGTATCTCACACACAAACTTCACTTTTTACTGTTATACCACCTAAAATACCTAACACTCTCCAAATACAACACTCCGTTGCTCCTGTTAAGAGGTGTCGCCTGCTCTGTTTCACAAAAAAAGGGAGCTGCGTCAGTCCAATGGAAGAGAGAGAAGGGAGACGCTCCAATCTCCATTTCTATTGTTCATCTTCTTCCTTCTCTACTATTTTTTTCCTTTCTAATCTTTATAGATTACATAACTTATCATATCTATGTTAGGTGAAATTAGAGTGGTGTTTGGTGAGGAATATCTTTGTCTTCTTCATGGAATGGGCTGGAGCAGCAGCCATCACTGTTCTTGTTTATTGTTCGTCTTCTCCATGTGAATTTTTTTTTTTTTTTTGTGAATTAGCTTCCTGTTGGATGTGTCTCTTGAATGAATAGCAATTGCTCTTTTAAGTAGTTATTTGTGATACCATGTAAATAGAAGAATTGGTCTAGCTTCCATAATATGTAGCATTAAAAAAGCATGACAATGCTATGGAATGCTGATGGAAAGAAAACTGTTAGTATTCAAAGTAGACAAAACTATTCAAAAAATTTGGAAGCATTCCATAAATATGCTCGGTTTGTAAGCGACGAACACGCTTCTCAATCGTGGAAGGCAAAAAAAGGGAGCTGCCTTAGCCCGATGGGAAGGAGAGAAGGGGAGAAGCAACGCGAGAGAGCCACTCGAATAGGTTTCCCGCGTGAAAGGCTGTTGTTACGAACTGGTTTCTAACGGAAGCAAACAGAGTGTTGTATTTGGTGAGTGTTAGTACTTTTAGGTGGTATAACAGTAAAAAGTGAAGTTTGTGTGTGAGATGTGTAAATACACGTGTTTTGAGTGTTAGGTATGTAAAAATCCCCTTTTTTATGTAAATGGGTAAATCCCTTTTTTTAACTGTAATGAAAAAGACATTTATGTGCAAATTTTTTCCCCTTTTTCCTTCTGCACCCATGCCTTTTTATAGTAATTTTTTATTTTTTAATTATGCATTGCTCAATTTACATATTTCATTTTTGAATAATGTTCATGTCATAATATT